GATAGTTAACTCTGGTCCATATTTTGGAGAAGCGTTGGCTCTTGTCTCTGGAAGCAAAGCAGTAGTCTATAGCAATCCAGGGAATATTTACAACTTCACTGCTGCAGAGATGCATGGCAACGACCTCAACCTGACCGAGTGTGAAGTCTATGAAGTGGAGGGTAAGTTCAATATCAATATTATTATAAATTATAAAATGATTTGCGGTGGGAGGGAGCTGAGTCCAACATTTCATTGTATTAAAAAAAAGCTAGGCCCTCCTCACATTATAGTTATCAATGTTTATTTGGACCTTCCTCTCAAAAAAAACAACAGATATACCCTCCTCCCATTATCTCAAACTAACATATTTATGCAAAACATAAATAAAAGGTGAGTATGAAACATAATTTAATCAAAAAATGAAAATGACATTAATATAAATGAAATGTATTAGAAAACACAACACATTAAAGGTGAATATTCAAACTTATCTTTGCTCAAATGAATGAACCAGGTACAGCAGCAGCTCTGCAGGTACTGATGGAGTTATGCATCTTAAAGGGACAGTTCACCCCAAAATAAAAAATGCATGCGTTTCCTCTTACCTGTAGTGCTATTTATCAATGTAGATTGTTTTGATGTCAGATGACTAGTTCTGGAGATATCAGTCATAGAGTTGTCTACCTTCTCTCAGGTATAATATACATGATAGTTGTCTTGTAGTGTTCAAAGTGCTAAACATTTGAAAAACTCGACAGCAAGTTTCTTTCCATAAATCACCTGGTTACTCTTGATAATCCACAGACCTTGTTGAGTTTATTGGAGGAACTGTTTTCTTTCAAGCATGGTTCCGACAGAATGCGTTACTAACTAGAAAGGTGCGCTCACTCGAGTGCAGATCTTCGCTAGGCGTGTCAAATTTCACGTACATATACCCGTTTATGACGATTGTAATCAAATTTATGTTTCCGGGTTATCAGTCCGGTCCATTCTCTTGACACCGATATTTCAGGAACGCCTGGAGGGAATTTCTACAAATTTGTCACAAATATCCACCTGGAATCTAGGATGATTGTTTAGATTTTAGAGGTCAAAGGTCAAGATCACTGTGACTTCACGTCCGTTCCATTCTTGTAAACGTTATATCTCAGGAACGCCTTTAGCAAATTTATCCACATTTGTCACAAATTCAGACAAACCTCTAATAGGATAAAATGATGAAGTGAGGACATTTTGGACAGACATGGATGTGACCTGCAACATGACTGGTTGGCGCAGGAATACAACCCTGATGCACTAATTCTAGTCTATTTGAAACTATGACAAGATATATTGCTCAATGACGTGTATTTGGCTATCAGATCTGATTTCTTTCTGGGCGAACTTTTCCAACTTGCGTCTGACCAATGCATTGTGATAAATATGCTTTTAAATACGATCGACATTGTGGCCTGACTGATTGAACCTTTCGTCATTGTAGTGCAGTCCAGATAAAGAACTTCCCTTTCAACTTAATGCTACAACTCCGCTAGTGTTGTTGAACTCATTGGGTGATATTAATAAAATATTTTATCTGCAGACGTCAATGAAAAACAACAGGCAAAAGAATATCATTAATATCATAAAATATGCGGTGTGATATTGATACTATGTTCTGTTAAAGAAAAGAAGTTGCATAGGTGGGTAATATTTTTATAAAACTTGATAAGATCATCGTTGTGTTTGCTCTTCAACAGAACACACACAACTTGAGAGGCCTTGGAGGACTATCCCCTGGGAGTCGGAGTAAGATGGATACCGTCCTGCACATAATAATATTAACATGCTTTAGTACACTATATGATACAGTATGACTCAAGTTCATGTGTTCCACATGCCATGACATGCAACGCTGCTACGCTTGACTTACTATACCAACTATTTTAGATTACTATGGACTCAGTGTCTCTGCATAATACTATGCAATGATACTGTTGGCCATTCGTACTGTGCTATTCAATTTAAAGCACAATTCTTGACTTATTTTCTTAATTGTATCCGCAACCATGACTGCTACCATCACAGAGGTCAACTGGTTGTGCACAAAATATCTCTTTAACAACCAGGCTAAAAAAAAACAACCTTTTCACTCAATGAAAAGTTTTTTTTGAATCTTTTCTTGTTTCTACAGGAAGAGGAAGGAGCTGATTGAGAGTATTAAGATGTACAAACCCACAGTGAGCTCTGTGTCCCGGGTTCGGGTCCTGCTTATTGGACCAGTTGGAGCTGGAAAGTCCAGCTTCTTCAATTCAATAAACTCTGTATTCAGAGGCCACGTCACCAGTCAGGCCATCTCTGGCTGCTCTATCACCAGCCTCACCACACAGGTTAGTTCTTTCCACTGATTGATTTCAAAATGAAAACCCTGCTCGGTCCCAATTTTGTGGTTTGTTACTCCATCGTATTCTGGACAGTTTCGCACCTACTCTTTGAAAGCCGGGCGAGAAGGAAAACCTCTGCCAATCATCTTTTGTGATACCATGGGACTGGAGGAAAGCACTGGGGCGGGGCTTGATATCGATGACATCAGCAGCATCCTTAAAGGTCATCTACCAGACCGTTATCAGGTACAGCTTTTGGTGACATTGAGCAGGATATTGAATGTGTGAGTCATTGGTTTGGTTGTAGTTAACTCAAACTGTCCCTGTCTTTCCCCTCACCTGTATGACTCAGTTCAACCCGTCTGCTCCTCTGGATTCGGAGGTCCACAGCTATCGTAAATCTCCAGCTCTGAAGGACAAGATCCACTGTGTGGCCTACGTCACTGATGCCTGCAAGGTCTCTATCATGCCCAAAAAGCTGGAGGAGAAGCTGGATGCTATCCGCAGAAAGGTCAACCTAATGGGTCAGTAACATGTAGTCTCACATCAATATAATGAAGACATACTGTACTGTCTACAAAGAAATGCCCCGTATTATATCAGTGCGAAAATTAGTCACGTGACAACGCAAGATGACTAGTAAACGACACAGCGTCTGTTATACAGGGAATAGTAAATGAGAAAACGAGGGAATGAGTTAAGACAAAGACATAGTAGCCAAGTAAACGTTTCAAGAAAAGTCAGTTTAAGAAATCTTTTTTTTTTGTGCTTCAGTTATAGAAGAAACATTTAAATTGCAACAGAAAAGTAAAGTATTTAAGAAGTGCTGGAATTGACAGCCTGATACGTAGGAATCAACAGCATTTTGGAAATATTCTTTCTGCTCTGTTGTTTCCAGGGATTCCTCAGCTGGTCCTGCTCACTAGAGTTGATGAAGCCTGCCCTCTGGTGACCGAGGATGTGAGAAAAGTTTACAAGAGTGTCTACATTAAGGAAATGGTGAGGATTTTAGAATTTTATACAGAAGGAAAAAACTCTATAAGTTTTGTTGTACTCTGGGGTTTTAATGTGTTTTTATTTGATTTATCTAGTTCAGATACGTTCAATGTACTTGATGGTGTCGAATTGAAGATGTATCAACTCTAATTTGAGAGTTTTATGATTTTCTGCTTAAAGGCCGGAAATTGTGGGAAATCAAGTATTTTTGTACTTGAGTGAGATGACAGGTAATCAAACCGGTATATTTAATATTTTATGTCATCTGGTTTTTGTTTAAAAGTTATTTGCCTTTTAATGAGTAGCCAACCTAAACAAACACCATCAATATAACATCAACTTTTCCAATGTTGAACTTACAAATTTAAACAAAATGTAGTTGTTACATCACAAACAATTCTTTGTTGTATTTTGTGATTCAGATGCAGGAAGTCAGCGCTCGGCTCGGTGTGCCGGTGTCCTGTGTCGTTCCAGTGAAGAATTACAGCGAGGAGTTGGAGCTGGATCAGAACTGCGACATCCTGCTGCTTAGTGCCGTCATCCAGATGCTTCGTTTCGCTGACAATTACTTTGATGAAATCAGTGACCGATTCAGCAACATTGAAACCAAAGAATAGGAAGTATTGATGCATCGGATGTATTCGACTTTGTCCAACTGGAATATGATGTCCATCACAATGATCCATCTATTTACCGGCAGGTGATTCCTTGATATAGTTCGCTGTGCACTTCCTCCTCTTGAGTTTCCCAAGCACCCCTTGGAATGCTGGGACATGTAGTGCCTCCAGTATGTCCTGCAGCAGCACCTCCAGTTTCTGGTTTCAGAAACTCAGTGAGCTGATCCTCATATTGATCGTAATTATATTTTTAGAAAATGATTACTTTATAAAAAAGTGCTTCTTTCATTTTTACAATATATGCTATAATTTACTTAATATCATGTAATTTACAGTTTGTTTTTCCAATTCACTTACAGGTTTTACAAATGACTTAACTGCAGCTAAAACTACCGTCTACTAATGTGATGATTTACACAAAAACATTTACACATATTTTTGATTTCCCAAACACTTACAACACTTCGGTCTGTTGAGTCATGAAAGTATCATTACGGTTCCAAACGTTTTTAAGAGTGAAAGAAAGTATTTCTATAGAGAGCGACTCCACAACCAACACTGTGTCATCATACTGTTACATCAAGCGTTGGAGTAATATGTTCATTTTGCTACAGTATTTGATGTTTGTTGGAACTTCCCAGTTTCTCAGATGTTTGTAGAGACATATTTACTGATGTTTATTGTTATTCTGCATGTTATTTACATTGAGCAGTGGTGGAAGAAGTACTCAGATCTTTTACTTAAGTAAAAATAGCAATACTACAGTGTAGAAATACTCTGTTACAAGTAAAGGTCCTGCAGTAAAAGTGTTACTTAAGTAAAAGTAATAACGTATGAGCATTAAAACAATACTTAA